AAATCTTTAAAAAAAAAAAAAAGAATGGGAAAAGGCAATAAACAGGATGGGAGAAAATATTTGCAAATCATACATTTGATGAGGGCCTAGTATCCAGAATAAATAAGAACCCATACAACTCTACAACAACAACAACAAAATAATTCTAAAATGGTCAGAGAGTTGAACAGACAGTTCTCTAAAGATATACGAATGGATTAATAAGCACATGAAAAGTTGTTCAACATCATTAGTTGTTAGGAAAAGGAAAATTAAAACCACATGAGATACCCCTTAGGACAGCAAAAGTTTTTTAAAAATAGAAAATAATAAAGGTTGGTGAGGATGTGGAGAAATTGGAACCTTATTATCTGCTGGTGGGAACATAAAGTAGTTGAGCTGCTCTGGAAACAGTTTCGCATTTCGTCAAAAAGCTAAACATAGGATTTTATGTGTCAGCTTGCCTAGGTCATGGTATCCAGACATCTGGTTAAGCACTAGTCTAGATGTCACTGTGAAGTTATTTTTTAAGATGACATTATACTGTCAGTACTATTAGTTACATCAATAGACTTTGAGTAAAGCAGATTACACTCAATAATGTGGGTGGGCTTCATCCAGTCAGTTGAAAACCTTAAGAGAAAAGGACTGAGGTCCTCTGAAGAGAAAGGAATCTGTCTCCAGACTGCCTTCATACTCAAGCGGCACCTTCCCTGCGTCCTTGGTCTGCCAGCCTGCCTTGTGGAATTGAGTTGCTAGCCCGAACAATCACATGAACCAGTTCTTAAAATCATTCTCTCTCTCTATATATATACATATAAATACACACGTACAAAGCACATCCTATTAATTCTGTTCCTCTGCAGAACCCTAATACACCCAGCAATTCCACTAAAATTGGATGCTTGGATACTTGGATGCCAATGATCATTGCAGCACTATTCACAATAGCCAAAAGATGGAAACAAGCCAAGTACCCATCAAAGATGAGTGGATCAACAAAATGTGTTAAATACATAAAATGGAATATTATTCAGTTATAACAAGGGATGACATTCAGATACAGGCTGCAACATGAATGAACCTTAAAAGCATTATACAAAATGAAATAAGCCAGACACAAAAGGACCAATACTACATCATTCCACTTACATGAAGTACCTACAATAGGCAAATTCATAAGAGACAAAAAGTGGATTAGCTGTTAGCAGAGGCTGGAGGATGGGATGGGCAATGGAAAGTTATGGCTTAATAGTTAAAGTTTCAGTCTGGGGTGATATTAAAGTTTTGGAAATAGCTAGTGGTAATCCTTATACGACATTCTGAATGTAATTAATGCCACTGAGTTGTACACTTTAAAATGGTTTAAATGGCAAGTTTTATGTATTATATATTTTTGGCCACAATTTAAAAAATGGTAATGTAATATATCCCCAAAAGTTGAATTGTATGCTTTAAGTGGGTGAACTGTATGAATGTGAGTTACATCTCAATAAAGCTGTTACAAATAAAAGTAATGCAGCATCACTTCTGCTACATTCTGTTAAAAGTCCCTGGATCCAGCCCATGTTCAGGGGAAGAGGAATTTGATTCCAACTTTGATGGGAGAAACAACCAAAAATTTATGGACATGGGAAGACACTCATACAGGAAAAAGTACTGTAAAGGTCCACCTACAGACTCTTTCAACATTGTTATTATGGAGAATAAGCCTAGTTTATAAGAAAATGCTTCAAAAACAGTGGATCTGCCACCATGTCCAAAGAAATCCAAGTTTTAAGTTTACAGGTTATCTGTTGATGAGGATTTAACTCAATCATATCCCTCCTTCTTCTCTCCCAGTATTGTTATATCATCATTTTTGCTTAAGTCAATATTTAGTGTTTATGCTTTTCAAATGCTCAAGAGTGTCAGATATTTTATTCATTCTTATTTTCTCCCCAGAGACTTCCTTCCCAGATCTCTCTGTCCTGCCCCCATTGGGGTTGTTTCTCTCTGGGCTCCCTGCACAGCTGTCATCCTGGGAGTTTCCTATGAAAGTGTGCATTAGAGGTACACTTTTTCCATCTTTGCAGGTACAAAAACATCTCTTTTTCTGCCTTCACCCTTGATTGATCATTTGGCTAGCTAGATTGAAAATTATTTCTCTCAGAATTCAAAGGCATTTCTCTATTACCTTCTATCTTCTTGCTCCAAAATCACCCTGAATTCTGTTTCTTTGTATATGATCTGTCTTTTCTCTCTGAAATATGTTCTGAAATTTCTAATATTCTGAAATTCTGAAATTTGACAATAAAATGCCTTGATATAGATCTTTTTAAATAATTATTGTGTTGGTTATTAGATGTGGACTCTTTCAGTCTTGAGAAATGTGCCCCTCAGTTTTGGAAAACAATCTTTGATTATTCCTTTGATAATTTCTTCCCTTCCCTTTTCTTTTTCTACTGTACAGATTTTATAATCTCCCTTCTTTTTTTTTCTGAGCAATTTTATCTTCTAGACCTTCCATTTATGCTGTATGTCTAATTTCTTCATACTTTTTCTTAACCTCTGATTGTTCCTTGTTCCCAGTATCTTATACTAGTCTTTCATGGGTGCAATATCTTTTTTCATCTCCCCAAAGATACTAATGATAATGTTTTGATGTTTACTTTTCTTGTATTGTCCCGGTTTTCTCAGAGATCCTTTTATTGTATTTCTACATGTGGGTCCTTCTCATCTTCGAGGATTTGAATAAGGTTCTGCCTGGAAGCACTCTAGTACTGGGGTTGGAAAGTGGGGGGGGGAATGGATCTTCCATCTGCTAGTGTTCTGGGAGCAGGGGTGAGCTAGACTTCAGTATCCGCCTCACAAGGACTCTGGTGAGAGCTTCCCTCACTTTGCTGAACGGTTACCATCCCTCCCCTGCCTGCCACCTTCCAAAATTTTGTTGAAATTACTCCTCTCCCATTCTCTTTGTTCTTGTGGCTTTATTCTTTTTTTCTTTCCTTTACTCTGATTTTATTGGGACTTTAGGAGGGGAAGGAGATAAATGCAAGTGGTTGACCAGAAGTCCTCCATGTTATCAGTAAATGTTTTGATAATAATTTGAGTTTTTCCTGCCTTTAGTCTCCTTGCTTTTAAGTCAGTCTCAACACTGCTCCCTCACTAATTTTTCTGAAACATAAGTCTGCTAAGGTTACATCTTGCCAAACTTTTGATGACTTCCCATAAGAGAAGATTTAGCATTCCTAGCTTGAACTACAGTGCCCCTTACAAACTGACCCTCTCCAATTTCATCTTCTACTGGTCTCTCTCACAATGTAACCACCCTAGAATATTTATTTTTCCCTAAATTTATCATGTACTTCTTTGCCTCTGTGTCTTTTCTATGCCCTGTGCCTAAGTGTTCTATCCATTCTCTCTGGTAGATTCCTCGTATTCTTCAGGGTCCAAACCAAGTGTTACTACCTCTATGAAACCTTTCAAGACCCCACACTTTACTGCAGGCAGAATTTCGTAACCCCTCTGTATTCCCATAACACTAGGCTGCTACCTTTAACATAGCAGTTATACCTCAGAGCGGAGCAGTTAATTTACATGCCTGCCTCACCAGCCAAATTGTCACTTTCTTCAGGGTAAGGACTATGTTTTCTTCTCCTTGATATGCTAAGTATCAAGCTCAGTGCTTAGACTCTGTAGACATTCAGGAAATGTTTATCATGTATGTAATTATCATTGTGACGGTAGCCAGCTCAGTTGTCATCTTCCCCTTTCAGGCACACAAGCCATGCCCCCTCTCTTCTCCTTGGGGTACCATCAGTGCCGCTGGAACTATGAGGACGAGCAGGATGTAAAAGAGGTGGATGCAGGATTTGATGAACATGACATTCCTTATGATGTCATGTGGCTCGACATAGAGCATACTGAGGGCAAAAGGTACTTCACTTGGGACAAGAAAAGATTTCCAAACCCCAAAAGGATGCAAGAGCTGCTCAGAAGCAAAAACCGTAAGGTAAAATAAGCCGACCCTTCAAAACCTCTTAATTACAAAGCACTTGTTTAATTTTTAAAACTTGCCTTGGCACATTAGTGGAGGAGAGCCACCTGATAAAAAATGGCCATGAAAATAATACCATCAAATATAATTGTAACTGTGATAATAGGAAAGCAGTGGTGGAAAGATGGTCCCACCATCCGTCCCTGCCTTGGCTGTCTAGGTCCCCACAGGATAACGGGGCCTCGCATTCAGTCCCGTTTGTTGTGGCCACGCTGTAGGGATATGATGGATACCCCAAAAGCAAAATGTGGTACTGATGTCAACATCAATCTCGAGCTTGAGGACATCATGTGGACACTACAGGGTCTGAAAAGGTTAATTAGTCACATAGTGAGGCATTCTAGGGGAAGCAGGGCTGGCTCCCAGGCTGGTCTGAAGATGGCTTGAGAGATCTGGGAACGGAGACAGCTCAGCTTTTATGGTGGTTAGAGGGTTGGACTGGGGTGAGGATTCCTGTGCATTCCTCGGGCTTGTGTGGTTTGAACTTCCTGCTGGCACCCAAGGAGGAAGCATTAGGGCTTTCTTTGTCAGCTGTGGCAGAAGGGTAAGGGGGGATGGAATGGCTTGAAAGCTCTTAACAGTCAATCAGAAATGGAGACAGATTCTTCATTTCCCATTCTCCTAATTTCCCAATTAATAGCTACCATTTGGCAAGTACTTACTATGGGCCAGAGAGTTTGATAGAACACATTATTCTTGCTAGTCATCACAAAATTAAAAGGTAGATCTTGTTAGCCCATTTTTCAGATGAAGAAACTGAGGCTAAGAATAGTTTTGTATTTTGCACAAAGGCATATAATAAGTAGTAGAGCAAGAATCTGAACTCTCGGGGCACCTGGGTGGCTCAGTCATTAAGCGTCTGCCTTCGGCTCAGGTCATGATCCCAGGGTTCTGGGATCGAG